GTGATGGAACCAATGGGGCCTGGAACCAATACTAACTGGCCAGTGGGGAGCCATCAGTATCACGATATATGACATGTCATCTTCATGATCAGACTCAAACTTAACTTGTGAGTTCACGAAATATACTCAGCTATGTATGACCATCGAGATGCTAGATGAAACGAGAAGTTGAACTAGATTGGAGATCATTTAAGGCAAGGCGAATCACCTGAATCTCAAAGTAAAGTATCGAAGACTGGCCAACCAGAGGTGATCACTTTCTTAACCGGTGAAAACTCACCAGAGTACTAAAAGACGATAATGTAGGAGTTGAATAAACCCTGATACAAATGGTTTTTCATACAATATGTTGTATCCGCTCATCAATGGTAACACAGTCAACCAGCATCATGACTTGCCGTACAGTATATCTTTCCATGTAGTGAGCTTTTCCGTCATCCGTGCTTGTTGATGCTTGAACCTTCACTTGGTTGTGGGTGAAATAATAAATGTAGGGTTATCGACTCATGCCCATTCCACTTCAAAGAACTATACTTTAACTTATAGACTTGTATTCATTTGATAATTCACTACCAATTTTAGTCAATTATCATATTGATGTAATACATATGCCATTTTAATAATCATGAAAAAGCATTGTTGATAACTAATAGTTTATCATCGTTAGTTAAGCTAATACCACACTGGTAACACACTCGTAGGACGGCGTAAAATAGCAATGTATAAATGTTATATTATGTAAGTTGTATGTATACGTGATAGTATTTTTTATTTATTTGAATATGCAAGTGTCCATTGTGCGTTTTTACTTCACTTCAAAAAGTCTGAAAAGAACATATGGGACGTGCAACTAGATAAATCATAAAGGTCATACTTTTTAAAAGTGATATTATTATTTTCAATCCAGACAGAATTGTGATGAAGAAGGTAATGCATACTAATGGTTATTATTGCTATGGAAGATGTTTCCTTCAATCCATCAACCCATTCAAACTGGCTTTATAAAACTTCCGTTCTGAACATGGATCACGGTGCGTTGCTACGCACTGGAGTATTCTGAATCTCAACGATTATCATTGCTTGCTATTTACATTGTGTAGGATATATGTCTGAAACGAATTGATATCCGTGAAGCTTTGAGCTTTGAGCTTTGTGCTTTGATATGTATATAGGTTATACGCGCACGCGACATCAATTATAAAATGCCATGTGTGTTCCCTGAAGTATCGCATTTTGATATTCATAACAACTCAAGAACGAAAGAATTGATTATAACAAAACTAGCACACTGAAATTATACTATATCGTAATATAACAACATTTTTGTCTAGAAACCAAATATTCACACAATACATTTACGTTTCATTGTAAAACCAGAAACACAGTCACTCTCTACATTCACGTACACTCACCCATTGACATGTCACTAATAATGTCAGGGGTATGTGGTTACAACTTACTTATTTATGCTGGCGTTGGACAGTATTGATTTTAGTTACATGTATATATATATTTACTTCCGCAAGGTAGTTTAACGTCAGGAATCTATAGATGAGGTTATTGTGTTTTAGTGACATGACAATCTTTTAAAACACGGTTTTTTACTATAATACATATTAACTATTAATGTGTTATTTTGGTTTTATCTCATGAAAGACTTGGTTTTATACTAAATGACTGATGGTGTTTTACTTAATAGATTGTACAATACAACAGGCCTGACAATCTATAATGCTGATATGCCCATGCATATGTGCTGTGTAGATAAAAGGTATACGGGGGCGTTTGATGCGTGTTAACAAGGTTATCCAGCATCAATATATCACTGTCTGGATTGTTCACCACTTAATGGAAAGTACGACAAATTACCAATTATATTGTTTTCACTGGTACATATTGACTCGTGTGATATCTTTGTTTTATCTCAAGAAAGGTTTGGTTTATTATTGAAACATTCAATGACTGTCAAAATACACGAACTGATACTCTACAGATTGTACAATACAATGCGTGTGACAGTAATTGAAGCCGATATGACCATGCATCTGTATTGTGCAGCTAATATGTAGGTGGGGCTTTGGGTGCGTGTTAACAAGGTTATCCGGCAAGAGTATAGTAGGAAGTATGCTAAATTAACAATTATATTGTACAGTTTCCGAAAAACATAAAGATTGGGCACTGATTAATTTACTCAAATAATAGTTTGTTATTTGAAAATATGCAAACGGCTATCCCAATAACACCATTATGCCATTATAAACTGGAACCTAAATCTGACCCTGAATCATTATGTTGTGAATCGGCGCATCAATGTCGCATTTAATTATCTACTCACTGATACATACATACATACAAACACACACATGATAAATACAACAACTGGGTACACGTATTCCTAATTATACATCGTTATTACCGGTATGGTATATTTTAAAGACTTCAGAAATATGATAGTTACCATAGTAACGTCGTTCTGGCAATTCACTTAAACCACTTAAGGTATTCGAGCACAATTATCGAAACAAGTATACAATTGTTTTACTCTTGTAGTAATTGTGGTTAAAACACGCTCATGTAGCAATTTCAAAAATATCTCAGTGAATAGTATAATTATATACGTCGTATACGGTGAACATCATCAATTAACCGGCGATAGGAACAACCACAGGAAATATATTTAGTCTGTGCAGGCACAAATTGTTATAATCCATTCACTATTATTTCTCTCATATCACATATTATACAAAAAGCTTGACCAATTTAGAATTATTTGAAACCATCAATGTGTTTATTTATATCTGCACGTTATTGGTAAAATAGTTTAACATCATGTTAATTGGTACACTAGTCAGTCTAATAACATTACCCATTAACGCACCCACGCTCGTTTTACAATTTTTAACAACTTGATAACGTAAACATAACTGAAGGAGATGAATAGGAAACATTTCAAATAAAATAAATCAATAATGCAGTTATTACATACGTAGTTACTGTAACAGCATTTGATAAAACAATGATTATAACAAGTGACGACGATTCTATTAATTTAAATAACAGAAGTAATTTAGGATTTTCTTTTATAGGATAACCAGCGGTATAGTTTTATCTATGGAACAAAGCCGCGGGAAGATATCAAAGTCCATCCGATTCAATGAAATTTATAATCCGACATTATGGTTCTTCGGCAAGGCAATCGCACGATAGTCGCTGTGGAATAAAACTTTCAAATCTAACGAGTAAGTTATATTACCTGCCACACCAACTATCAAGTATCCGACACCATGGAGATTCATGGCGCAAATACTGAAACCAGGCAACAAATAAGAACTGGGGAACTTATCTTCCTACAACATTCCCGAGAAGTACATTGATATATTGTGAGCTAACATACATTTTATTATAAATGCAACTTTATCACATAATCTCTACGTATATAATATATAATGCATACAATAATATAAGGAATTTAATCAATATTTTTATTTCTATCCAGTTCAAATCTATGCTCTATGAAATAGCAACATATTCATATTCATTTTGTACTCTGGGCCCTGTCCTGGTATTTTGAAGAGCGAAGTCAAGCATAACAGATTGACGATTTCTATATTCTGGACGAACCGACAAACTAAATATCGTTAACTAATTGCCACTGGAACAAAGAAAGAAACAGTTTAAGTATTTTCAAATTAAAATTTAAATAAATCGTTCGTTATAATATCACCAGTAATATTGTTCCGCCCATATTACATATTATAAAAACAACTTGCCCGACTTAGGATTTTATATTCGATACAATAAATTTGTTTATTCTATGAATATCAATTATGACAGCAAGTATTGTTGAAAAATATCCGAATATTGGTATAATATGTAAAATGATGTTATCAATAAACTATGTACAATTGAAATATACTAGCATGTCAATTAACATTTACCCATTCACAAACATATGCACGTTTTACGAATAATTTGATAATAAAACGTAATCATAACTGAGAGAAATAAATAAAACATTTTCAATTAAATAATGATGTTAAACACGAAGCATAGTGGCTATGGCAATAACGTTATTAAGTAAAGTAAATATGATATAAACATATTTCTATGACAAATAAATAACACACAGAAAAAAAATCACCTTGAACGGTGAGATAAAATTACAAAATGAGCAAAAAATATGTCCCGTTTTCCATTGTATATTATGTTCATACGCAGTTACAGCCTTTGCCAGCACAACGACTATGACAAGTGACGTAAAACTACAGTTGCAAGTTTTGATTATGTTTTCGTTTTATACAATAACCAGGGTATACTTCTAGCCATGGAACAAAGCCGCGTGAAAGTGTCAGATTCTAAACGATTCAAATAAATTTATTGAAATGTAATCCGACATTATGGTAATCGCACGACAGTCATTGCGGAATGAAATTTTAATCTAACGAGTAAGTTGTATTACCTGCCACGCCAAGTATCAAGTATCCGACATTATGGAGACACAGAGCGCAAAAAATGAAATCAAGCAACATATAAGAATCGGTGCACGAATCTTCGTGCAACAATCCCTAGAAGTACATTGATATATTGAGAGCTAACATACATTCTACTGTAAATGCAACGTTTAACTCTACCACATAATCTCTACGTATATATACTGCATAAAATAATATAAGAGATTTAATCGATACGCGCCACAAATACAAATGTTAATCAATTATAGAAGCGTGATGCGATCGAATACTTAATAGATTATACGCTTTTAGAACAATAGTGTTGTTAATTATAATAAGTATACGAACACTTATCTGATTAAGTTGTAGTTTAAAAACATCGCATTTAGCTCAGGTTGACACAGGTCAAATGCATGACTGCACAATGCCAGCGGAATTCCATAATTTTCGGATAAATTAACATTGCATGTTTGATACGACACTAAGAATTTACTGATAGTAGATATAAAATATACGACACCACTTTCTTCATTTTTGTCCAGTTCAAGTTTATGTTCTGTGCAACATTTTCATTTTGTACTGTGGGCTTTGTCCCGGGATTCTGGAGAGTGAAGTTGAGCACGACATAAGAGATCGACGATTTCTAGATCTGTTCGAACTGACAAACTCAGACGCCAATGACCTCTTGCGCACAGGCAGACCATTTCGTGTGAAGGCTTCTTTGAATGCAAGACGATATCTTCTACTAGCAATGTTGTAAACATACGGATTGACTGCAGAGTTCAACAGTAAAAGACACCCAGATATGTTATGTAGGCAGTCAGTGCATTCATTGGCAAACATTTCTCGTCCATTGATCTCCATCAACTCGGCCAAAAGTCCAACCACTCTGGGCACAACACACACGAATAAGATCACAGCAGTTGCTATGCATACTCGGATGATGTGCTGATCATCGTGATTGCTATGACGAGCGCTATTCATGGCAACAGCTGCTCTCCAAAGTTGATACGCAGCGAGCGAGTATAGCGTAGTTACACATACCATGGAGGATATGGTGAGCACCATGAACGCCACACCGGGAAGAAACCGCAGCGTATTGCTTCTGATGACGGGCGCAGAACAGTCAATTATCATCGGTACGTTCAGCGTTGCGCCTATGAACCAACTTAAAATTATGAGAAGTACATTTTTGGATCGCTTACCAACAATAAACCGATACTTCAGGGGGCTCTTTATCGCTAGGTAACGTTCGATGCAAATCAGAACAACAGTGGTGAGTGATGCGAGCAGAGAAACGTCGATTAGAATTCCAAACGTACATTGGAACGCCTCGTTAGCAATGAAATTGCAACTAGCGGCATCAGAGCCGACACAGATAAACACTGACCAAATCAGGATGGAGTAAAGAAAATCAGCAACTGCTAAATTCACCAGATACCAGTTCGTTGGGGTGTGGAGCGCAGGTACTCTAAACACTACAAACATGAAAGCCGCGTTTCCCACGATTCCCAGCGTGGACACTGTTATGTACAAGATAAACTGAGTTTGCTGGTCAATGTAACACAACGCCGACATATAAGACACGTTGTCCGTGTAGTTGGCATTCGAAAAATTCGCGTCCGTTCCATTACCTATTTCCACGGTGCTATCTGCAAATACTGTATCGACTCTAAGAAAAAGATAAAACAAGTGGAAGAGATAGATGATCGTTAATACCAGAACAGACATGCTTCGTCAACCAAGTATTGTTTGCAATGAAATTCACTCTGTGATGAATGGATATGAAATAAACATTATAGGACTACCTACACGCACCCGTCGCATAAATCAACATTTTTATAATACACATAAATCGGCACATATTATTAATTCGTGATAACAAAAGTTATATCTAATAAGCTAAAAAAATTATAATAACCTGCAAGGCATCGTGAAAGTTGATCCACGGCAAGAGGATCAGCGTGTTTTCTTCAAATGCTCAAACTGTTTCTCTAGTTATAATTCACGGCGAACGTTGCCGCAACCACGCCCATCTATATTTTATGCAGATAAACAACACATGTCAATCACAAATAAAGTAGATGAAAAAAAACAATCATGCGAACCTATTGTCTGAATGAAAAACGTATTGAGACGTTTGCGATGTAGCTGTTATCAAATGACAGGATCCACGAACATTCGATGATGGTGTTAAACATCGTGACTGTGAAAGAGCATATTCACTCGTAAGATAGTTACCATGGGAACACATCCATTATGATACCATATTATCTGTGGTTGATCACATTTGTTAATCAGATCACATTGCCATTTGAATTTGGCCAGGAACATAAAGCTTACAATCAACCTTCAATCACTTTCGTGTATCGAACCAATAAACAATTACATAAACATTCAATTGCGATTAATTACATATACATGACTTACGCATAGTACCACGTGATATACATCAGTTGTAGTATACCCACAGTAATGTATTACTCGTGGACGACACTGAACTTGATGTTATCCTTCTACGACCAAGCAGCCATTTTGATAATCACTATGGAGTATATATTTAAGGACTGAGGTCACTGTTTGGTCAATGGAATATTTAATGGAATTCTATGTTAGGTATTTCACCGAATTAGATTGGTTTGGTATTTGACCGCAAATTATTTGCAATAGTACACGGAGATTGTGTATCACTGTGATAGGACTGCTACGAACCTTGTATAATTTTCCGTCAATTGCACAATTGAGCACACGTCCACAAACTTTATAGAATCGGAATGTCAAACCGAATGTCCTTGGGCATAACTAAAATAAAACTCTTGATGTCAATAACGCATCAAGTTTCCATTCTTTTCATAAACAGCTCTGCGTGTCTGAGCTGCGAATGACATGTGCCCGCATGTTCCAGAAGAGCTTGCCATTCCACGCATCGCATATAAAACAGGCAAACACTGGAGGCGCATTATATTAACGGTGACGCGTTCACACGCAGTGCCGAGTTTCATTCGAAGTAGATTCGAATATCTCAATATCTTCGATATCTCAAGCGCCTACGGTTCGCACAATATCTCGCGTACAATCGTATCGTTGCCCATTTGTATAAAATATAGCAGATACATTATAGATTTTTTTAGATAAGTGTCACAGAATAACATTTACACCGTGACCAAGGACGAATAGTCGTACCTCATATTATTTTATGCATTAAACAAAACAACTATTATTAGTGCTACCCTTTCCGAGACTGTACGTTCCACTGCTTTTCCGAGACATTCTATAAGGTAAAATAATATGTTGTAACGTCAACATAAACATGTGTAGACTATGTATGAGAAGATTGGTGAATAATATGAAGTCCATGAGTATAGCTTGACCCTCAGGATTTAATTTAGCGATGATGGTGCCTAGGGATATTTAAGCAGCTATGAATTATTAAACAGAAGCGAATATATATATATATAGCGTATATATAGGGATTAATGCAAGAGAAATATAAAGTCTAATGGAATCAAACTAATTTCAATGGTACTTATGAATCGGTATAGGTAATGTGGTTGGGAATGAAACAGATGACCTCATCCACACTGCTATTATTATTGTTATGATATATTATATCTACCTCACCTTCACCTTCTGAAATATTGTCAACGGTAAACCGAAAATCAGCGACAATAAATGCTATCCCAATTTATCTATATATGTTACACTGGCGGCACTATCGACACAATGAGCCATAATTCAATCTATATCTATCTGCAGGACAATCATTATACACTATATTATTCAAGAGATACATGTCGATTCAAATTTTTCCACAACGTCGATTGAGTGAATGACCCACGGGTCATCGCGTGTTGGACACTGATATGAACGTCTGCAATAAATCATTACAATCCTAAGTGAACATAAACAGATTGTTTAACACATACATTCAATATAATCCCGATACCTAATCCTGCATAATACGCTGCGTGTGTTCAATTTGTTTACACGTCTTGTTGGCTTCATAAAATAGTTTTTGTCCACTATAATCCCCAGAATACTGATTCCGCTATTTTTTTTCTTTAATTGCCAATTCTATTGCTAGCAAGCGCTCCATAAAACGTATTTGTAGAATACTTATATACTGTTATTCCCATATAACTATTAGGTATATATTAACAAAAGGTTTAGAAACGGAGATAAACTTTCTAAATTCCTACCAACCTGCATTCAGACAATATCATTACTAATACTGGTTGTCCAAAGAAAGCATGAAGTTAGCAGTGGCTCTTTGAGTGGAGTGTAATTTTCAACCTCCCAAATGCATTTAACACTTTCTACTGTAAATATCTTAGTAAATTGGGGTTAATGACAATGTTGTTTAAGGAGCATCGAACTACTCGCCAACAGGGAATTCACATTACATGTTGGATATGGCAGCCACAGATTATAAAACAAGTTCGATTACTCTTCCGATATGTACCATATGGGAAAATCTCTTGCATACGAACAGCTCATTGCATGAAGAACCTAGAACACTTTCCCTGGGGTATTTAAAACCAAAATTATCTCTCAACAGTAAGACTGTTGCTGATTTGTTCCTTACGCTGAACGAGAGTAAATATCGGTATTTATTTTATCACTTGTACGCCAGTCGTGTTTTTATTTAGTTTCAAGCCGTATACAATATGGCTCCTCGTATAGTGAGTGTCGGTAAAGTAATCGCATTTATTTTATTATCACTTGTACGCCAGATGACCGTGGATATGGCGGCATACTACGTGGATCACCGATACATTTTATTATTTACAACAAATTTCTGATGGAAGCAATGGGATTTTATGATGAATTATATGAGTCAAATAAAGCGACAAATAACAATATTAAAATTAAGTAGTAAGCTGAAGACAGACGAAGCTAATGAGTAAGAAGGGTTTATCACAGAGAAAGAATGTTACGCACCATCATGAAAAATAAAATCCAATAAAACTCCGGCGCTCGATGGGATATCGATTGATTTTTGTGACGTTTTTGTATCGAGGTATAAATTATGCTAGTTGATGATTTGAATGACAGTGTAGAAAAGGCTGGTTACCGAACTTACATTGCATTGCATGAAAAACACGTATACCCAAAAAAGGGTCTGAATCGATTTACCAAATTGAAGTTCGGCATTTACTACTAAATCGTGAGAAATAGTAGTTTAATGAACATAGTACTACTCGCCAACCTTATATGGAGAGATAAGTTAACCACTGTATGTTGCACGACAGTACCTACTACTTGTTTTATTTATAACAGGGTGGCGACATCAGGTAAAATTATTGTGAATGCGGATGATACTTCTATACGATACTGAAACGTCACACTAGATGTGATCTAAACAAATTAACTGTGGGCATAGCATTACTTTAATAAGCGTCTATAACATGTTTACAGACCCACAACTGATTAACTGTTATGTAAATCATGCAATTACTCACATAATTACACAAATAGGTCAAGTTCATGTATTTTATAAACACTTTGAATGTGATCAAAAAATGTGTATTCCAACAGATAATCTTGTGGTGAGCTCAATGTTTCTGTGGCTGTAATGTGTAAATGTCATAATTATGCTAATTCGATTATTTATGACAGTTTCAGATGTCAGCTAAATCACGTGATATAAAGAGAAATAACTACACTGGTTTAATAAATCTGGTATTATTGATTACACATGATATTTTATATATATTATTATGTATTTAACATATTGATATATTGATAGGTCATTGTGAAAATCAACATTTTGGTAATAGATGTGCTTGATAAATATATACTTGTAGGACGTGGCTAACTTCATGACTTTATTTACGCCGAATTCAAGTTCATACATATGTATGTTCAATAGTTACAGTTGACATACAACAACGGAATTTCTCCGTGGTATTAATATACCCCACAGTGTGTATTCATTAACATTTTGTAAACCTGATATGAGCTCTCATTAAATCAGAGATACTGTAAGTTAAAGGAAAGGTCAATCCTGTCAATATTGTTGGCAATATAGCAGCAGTTATGTACATTTATTTAAATAATGGACAAAACAAATAAAAAAAATAAAAAAAATAATAGAGTTATGATACCATATAATATTCCATATAGACGCCATCCATCTTAGCTATTTTCAAGCGCCCTCTATTGGGTCAGACGAGAATGCGAGCATCATTTATTTGTGCACTGTGACGTCAAAGGCTAGGTTAATTAGTATCCAACTTAGGGGGTTACACAATGTATAATGAAGAGAAAAGTAATCACTTAGAGAGTAACAACCTCATATTACTAATATTAATACTTCCTTGTGTTGCAAATGTAATAGACAATACTAATAGTATCATCTTGCACATTATAGAATTAGAACTATAATTAATGTATGCGTGAAAACGTCCGCGTTGGAATAGCTTTAAAGGCCCAATTCACTTGCCCGGGCAAGTGTTTATTGGAGGTGAGGCTATGCTAACGGTGATTTATCTACATGGCGTACTGTAAGGGGTAACAGCACTCGCGTAATTCAGAAGGACGCTGTGCCAATGCAGATAAACTCCACGCATTGTTAGTTAACATATAAGGCAATCGCGATAACAGTTGACATCATACCAAGGTGCCAGGATTCAGCGTCATGAATGATCATTACGTTTTCACGATTTTTTTGGACAGCGCCCATTTTTCGAAAACTTGAATGGAAAATATGCAAATCAAGTTCCCATGGT